AGCTAAACGCGCGACAAAAGTACTGTTTGCGATTAGATGGAGATTCATTCACATCGATGAGGACCTCATCAGAAAAACGTACGGAACGTTTGTCCGGTCCCACTTTAAGTATGCCATCTAGGTCTGGCGTCCTTGTTTTAAGAAGGATTATCTACATCTGGGCGAGTGCAGGCGAGAGCTACGGAGAAGGTCAATAATTTTGGCCATCTGCCTCACGAAGACATATTAACTGAATTTGATTTCTTTCCTTTCAATTACAGGCAACTTCGTGGTGCCCCCATTCAAACTTATGGAAGTATCAGAAGCCGTGAGTGCACCCTGAAATTTGGTACTTTCTTTGAACTGGCTCGGACGGATCATCTGCGGAGTCAGCCTTTTAAAATGCAGAGGAAGACGGCCCATATGGACGTCCGACGGAACGCCTTCTCGCAAGAGGGTCATCGGAGCGTGGAGCGGACTCCCTTACGAGGTGAACCTTTCAGACACTGCTGACACATTTAAGCGCAAACTGCATTCTCATTTGTCGAGAAACCGTGGCAAACATAATGAACACGAAATCAGTAGCAGCAGGTTGCAATTGGCTCACACCTACCGCTGATGTTTATCTTACATTTGTATTATGTACTATTGTTAGGGTCGAACGCTTTTGCGATTTTTTAGATATGAATAGGAACTCAAGGGCGAAAGCCTTCTTCACTTAATAAAGTAACTTAATGTCAATCGAGCGACTGCAGAAGAATTTCCCACCAATGAAACTTGTGCCTGAGAAAATAGACAATTAAATCGGTGAAATAATCCGTAACAAATTTGAACAAGTGAAGTTGGTAAGGTAGCCGGAGTTGACTTGAGGATGTCGGATTTTAACTCTGCAAAAAATGTGTCCAGTCTACTCGAAAAGGTATTTGCAAGTCATTTTCTGTTCCTCACATATTAGATGGTGGCGAAAGATGCTGATATACGTTTCATGGCACTTAACGATATGATAAATGAATTGCAAAATGGAAGGCCTTTTCTAGATCCAGAAAATGAGCAATCCGTAACTTCTTATATCGTCTTCTAATGCACCATTAAGATTGTAAAAGCAGTCTTGAATCTATTGCGAGATAAGAGTGGGGAGGTTCAGAGTCTCTCTGTAACTGCGTATGTTTTGCTTTCTCCTTCATTTTCCTGTAGGCTTTCTCATATTGCAAAAGCCGTATCAAGTCAGGAAATCTCTCGCATTATTGCTGACCTTGTATCTTCAATGGCCAACGGCGAAACCGGTCAGACGCGGAGCATATGTGGCATTGGTATGTCGGATTTTATGTGGGAGCAACTATTGATCAGCTCATACCATCAGCACTCCATACTTTACCGATGAGCTTCGTGAAATAATTCAGGAATATTTTTTGCGATATTAACTTTAAGCCCATAGTACTTGCTTGTCTCCGCATCTATAGTTAAGTCAGGCCCATTTATCGGTTTTATGCCCTTGCGTTTGCCTCTATGCCATTTATTCTTCCGCCTTTATGTTCTAGTCAGATAACATATTTTGCGCATCAGTAGTTTTTTGGACTTTCTTCCATATTCTCGAATCTGCGTTTGTTAGGCTCTTTCGTTAACATTTTCAACTGCTTATTATATTAAAAATTGCGTGCCGCGTTAAGATTCTCCACTCGAGCCGGCTAGTTTTCAACGTACCAGGCTATCGTACAAGAGACAGAAAAGTCTAAAATAACAATAAAAGCTGCTTTGTCATTGCGAATTCTGCTTTATCTAGGCCTCAAGTCTGTTATCAACGCTCTCCAACCATCAACTCCATCTGTGATTGAGTTGCTTGCTCAGGAGTCTGTCAAACCACTGGTTCTTATGATTGGTCGGCACCCGGATACGGCGGTTCGCATCGAGGCCTGTGAAATCCTATCTGTAATCCTTACAAGGTAAGTTACAAAAATCAGCAGTAACGTCTCAGAAGACACTCTTTTCGCATTTTTGAATTATGTTTCTGCTCATTATTAATGTAGACAATATTCAGGTAAACATCTGTTTCTCTGCGATTTTAGTAATTCCTGAAAAATACTTGCCATTTGTAGTTCAAGTAGGCGCTTTGGTAAATCCGAAAAACATATTTCCAACGCCTTTGGCCCGATACATTGATTTTACCGTAATTCAACCAAAAACCAAAAAGTGCACAATCTGTACTAACTACTTCCGGTTCAAGCGGCACCAAGTTATAAGTTCGGATAGGCGAGCTAATCTCTGCCGCCTCCGAAAAAATCGTAGGCTTCAATTCCAATGAAAACGCGGCAGCTAGTAATTCTCGCGCATCATTTCTCTATTGTGTACCTTCCCCAAAATTTGTCATTCCTGCTCCACGTTTGTATGCTACGCAGTCTCTTGTCATCAGGCTTGTTTCGTAAAAGCCTAGACCCTAAAGCATCCTTATGATTGCACTTAATTTTGAAGCATCAAAGTATTTACTAAGGCCATAAATTATAATTTCCTGACTTCCTTACATACCAGAAACAACTACATAGTTAAGGCATTTTGTCACCTCATTCGTCAGTTTGGTACAGCTTCAGCTGTGTGGAGACTAAGCTTCTTATATTTTGATATATATACCCGATTTTCGGTAAAATATGTTGCTCGTCTAAACAGTATGTGTCAGTTCGCTGAGATTATATAGTACTGAAGTCACAAATTTATGCGAAATCTAAGTTTGTATGTGCGTGTGTGAACTACAAAATGATCTCCATTTCGATTGGAGGTAATCAAAGAGCAAAACGGGGCTTGTCTTTTCACACTTCCATTTATTCTGCCCATTGCGCGTAGATTTGGTGCATCACTGACGACCCTACACAGCGATATCCTCGAGTGCCTTCTTTTATGCCTCTCGGACCCTAATTCGCCTCTGCGGAAACGCTCCGTGCAGACCCTGGGCGCCCTGATGTGGACAGCTTCGGATGAGGCCTACTCAGCCACCCTCACCTACGTCCTCTGCCGACTTGGCACAGTGATGCCCTCCGCCGCCCCCGTCGTCTCTCCTTCTCCACTCCTCCAGAAACCCGCCCTCTCAACTGCCCTCAAGTCTCCTGTCCGAATGGAGGAGTTTAAGACCTTGTTTCAGTGTCTGGCCATCCTTGTGTGAGTTCC